AATTGGGGGGGTACAGATGGAGTTAGCGTCATAAGTATCTATATCTGTTAGTGTCTTCCACAAATATTGTATACGTTTTTATGTTTTATTCCATGAGCCAAATGTGTTTTTTATTCTGAAATCATTGTTGATCTCGATCTCTGTTTTTACAAGACCGAGCAAGAATGTTTCTGTTGTGCTTGTAGGCAATTAAGAAAAGAAATGATGGTTCTTTTGTAGTGATGTATCTTTCTCTTTTTTTTTCTCATTTTATTTATACTTGAATATTTTTCTGAGAATCTAACGTTTATTGTTTTTGTTCTTGATTTTTTAAAAATAAGTTTATCTGCAATAGGAAAGAAAGAAAAACAGCATCTCATCTATTCACCTTAGATATCATATATGCTAAGCGATTGTTTATAACAAAAAAATCAAGTTACGACTACATCTAATCTAAAGTAACATGTCTAAGTAAATCGATTTTCAAACTTTTATTTGACTGGTAATACCTGTTCTGGCATATCGTTCAACTTATTATTGAACCAACATCTTACAACATCTACAAATAGTTCTGGATTCTGCATATCCCAAATGTGACTTCCATCTTTGAGAATAAAACCTTTACTCGAAGGACTTACTTTTGTAACTGTTTTGACTAAATGCGGTAGCTCCTTTTTAATTATCCAATCTTCTGAGCCAGCTACTAGTGCGATCGGTGGTGATTCTTTTTCTATTCGATATAAAACGTTGGTTAAGAAACTGTCGCCCGAAATCTCTTTATAAAACTGACGAACATTATCCATTCTACTACCTATTCGAAGATCGGCAGCCACTTCAGGCGTATTGTATCGTGAATCAATATTCATACGAGAAAATAGCCGATAAAGTACGGTTGGAAATGCAGTCAATATCCAATTTAACGGACTAACTATCCAGTGACCGTAGCGTGTGAGAATGCTTGATAATGGCACAACAACACCGGTGACGAATGAACGATCGAGCAAATGTGGATAATAACGAATGATTGATAATGCGACATAGCCTCCAAGTGATAAGCCGACGATATGAACTTTGGATAAACCCCTTGATGTTATTAGTTGTGCTATCAGATCTGTTGTTCGTTCTAGGGAGAAATTCGGAATAAATTTTGCTGTTAGACCATGGCCTGGTAAATCAACTGCGATGCAATTGAAATCGATGGAAAGTAAAGGAAACATTGGCAACCATTCTCTTCCAGAAAACGCCCCACCATGAAGAAAAAAAATCGTCGGTAAGTGAGTTTGAAATGGTAACGACTCGTAAATATGTAGCATTTGATTACCTAATGGGCAATGTGTAGAGATAATAGAAAAGAATCGATTGTACAATTTAATTTTTTTTGAAAAATGAAACTGACTTAATCGTAGTAGCATTTTCTAAAATGTGTGTTAGACAACTATATATTCTTATTCTTTTCATACAGTTAGCAACGGTTCATTATTCTGCAACTTCTCTCCATAACTCCATAATAGAGAGGGGTTGAGGTTATATACTCGAGATCCCGTGGTTTTCAGTGTTTTTTAAGTTCCTCTTCCCTAGTAGGCCTAGTATTCATCATACATTCCGGTTCAAACAGATACTGGTTCTAATTATAGAAGTCGTATATGACAAAATTTCTTATAATGGTTAAGTCCCAGCCCCCGTCAGAAACATATCTTCGTTACTAAAAGTTTGATCTGGGCCAAACTTTTAGAGAAAGTTCACCTTATGACTGCACATTTTTTGATAAAATTTTGACGATATCTTCTATCACCGTTTCTGAGATATTGCTCACTTAGAGGTCAAAATGGGACTGTTCGTAGCTGGAAGATTCCTCGGTAACGAAGCGTCGTGGAGAGCTCGGGAGGGTCTCAAAATGCCGAAAACACATGTGGCTAGATGCTGATAGAGCCCGGATCTTGATATTTTACTATTCAAAATAATAGCCAGCATCAAAAGGCCAAGATTCGAAAAAGTGCCATTAACTTGCACAAATATGTTTTTCTAACCACAAATCTAGACTTCATATAAAAAGTCGGGCTCTGTTAGCTTCTAGCCACGTGTGTTGGCTTCATTTTAAGACCAACCCAAGAAATTCTGCAGCTACGAAGTCATGGGAACACGAAGTTCGCTTTTGATATAAAGTAGCGTTAGTGTACGATGCATATTTTAGGACTTCGACTTTCGTTTTTCGGGAAAACTGCCTAAAAAACTTGCAGAAATCTTTAATGAAGGTCGTAGTGACATGGACTCAGATAGCAGACATTTTGGGCTATCTAGTAATGTGCTTAGCTCAATACTAACTTTTTTACAAAAATTTCATATTTCTGACGGATGAGGCGGGACCTGAAGTGATTCTTTCAAAGATGAGAAATCGAAGAACAATATTGAGAACGAGTCTAATATTCTTCAATATTCGACCTAGCTCAGAATCTCTTGTACACAAAATACGACTAATGTCCATTTTGTAAGCAAACTTTAGAAGAAAACAAATTTTATTTTATAAGTCTAAATGTTTCTTAATTAATTAACCATAATTATTCGAGTGCATAAAGAACTCTTTATATTATTTTATACATTTTGCCCGGAGACGCGATATACGGGAATCTAGCAGTCTCTGTGAAAAAACAGGATTGTGTACGAAATCTAAAAGGGTATAGCGAAGTGTAACCATTTCTAAACCCTTCTAGATTTCGTAGAAGAAATGGTACAGTACGAAAACGTTTAAGTGTATAAATTCTATCAGTTCTTTTTCTAAAAAATTTTTTTGAGTACTGGACCGTTTCAGCAGTTTAGGCGTGTTTTCATAGTATAGGGCGGCGAAAGCTGAGTCCAAAAAGTACCTGAAACCTCTGTAATTTTTGATTTTTTACGAGAAAAACATGACGAAATAAGCAAATGCACTGATCAATCGTTTCAATGTACTTAAAACGATTTCGTACCGTACCTTTTCTTCTACGAAACCTAGAAGGGTTGAGAAATGGTTGCACTTCTCTATACCCTTTTCGGTTTTATACACAAACCTTTTTTTTTAGAGAGTGGATTAACATCTAAGAAGTGACGAAAAGAAAGTGAGCGTAATAATTTTCCCTTATGTTGGCAAAAACACGTTTAACTATTGCTGCAATCGGCATAAAAGAATATCTAGCACACGTAAGAAAAACTGCATACCGATTCATATATAATGTTAATGGGAAAGAAGTAGAGTAGTTTTGGTACATACTGTTGTAAAAAAAAACCTATGTTTTTATGTTAATTATTTTGCTTGCTAAACGTGAAACAACCCAAAATATATAACTTATTTCGAAGATAACTACATGTATCAAGCAACCGGAAGGTGAAAGCGAAGCCATTTCCCGCACACTGCTGCAAGTGTTATCTCTACTATTCACTTGGATGGTTGAACCAGTTACAGTTCAATCTAAAACGAAGAAATGAAACTGATCGAATTTGTTTTATTGAAATCTCTAGATGCAGGATGAATAATCTAAACCTAGAAATATTGTGCAAAAGATTCGTTCCTACTGTAGATATTCGAGTTACAAGAACAAATTTGACAACACCGCTGAAAGAGTGTCATTTAATAAATAATCAACGTTTAGTTAATTATAATAGGTTTTTTTAAAGCGAAATACGAGAATGTGCAGTTTTTCTTCATGCCATATCTTTCGGTTGATACAGATAGGCAAACCTAGTAAAAATATTTCAATTTTACGTCTCTTAATGGGAAAAGAAGCAGAAAAATGTTCAGCATTTACCGTTTTAATCAATGGTATGGTTCAACTACGACCTTTGGTCAATAGTACACACCAATGATTCGAGTGATTCTAAATTAGTAACTTGTTTAACTTGCTATTTGAATCATATAGGTGAAAACTTAGTTCATAGGTTAAATATTTATTAAATTTTTAACTCCTTTCGAAAAAAGTATTCCATTAAAAAAAGAAAAAAACGACGAAAAATATTATTAGTCATAAGAAAAATGAGAATGGCTGATTTACTTGTAAACGAAAATAGCTGAAAGTCGAATCAATATGAGACGGAAAGCGAAGATAACATAATGATAAAATTGCACGATACAAAAAACGTTAATGTGCCATTGAATTCAAATCACTAATATTGTTTCAGATTTCAATAAGAATGAGAAATAAAATAAATAAAATAATCGAGACACAGATCAAACAATAACATCTTGTTCGAGATGGACGTTTCTAAATGAAATATCAAGTAAAACGATTAATATGTTGAATAATTATTGTTGAACTCATACTTTTCATTTCCTCAATACCAAAACGAGAACCAAAATAATGATAGCAAGAACAACAAGAAGAATTGAGATAATAATTATTTTTTTTCGACGAGCAGAACTCTAAATGCAAAACATAAAAATAAATAACAAATTAGAAAGTAAAATAAATGGTCATTTCTAACGAAAATGTGTCTATTAAACATGCAAAAATTATGTGATAGAAAAGCAAAATGTTAGCACCTGCCAACCAACAGCTTTTGTTAAATCTTTTTGTGCATTTTGTACATAAGTCTCGGTATCAATACAATGAGTTTCTATAGAATCTATACAATAAACAGAAAAATATATTAATATGAGTTAGTCACTGAAAAAACGAGCAGCAATGGTTTAATTATTTATATAGCAATCTCTTCCATTTTTTAGCTTAGCGGGGGACACCTGTGATACAACGGCTGTTCCCAAAGAACGTGTGGCCTGTTGTGTTTGAACAACACTTGTATCAACATAATCCTGAATCGACCCTAAACATGTCACTTATAATGGTACCATATTTCCTATCTCTTCAATTCACTTACCAATAACGGCTCCTTGTTCATGAATAAGTTTTGATACGTCTTTGAATATTTCGTTTACTTGAATAATATCACCCTGGTAAAGAAAAGTAATGTTTAAAATACTTAAATTTCATTTTATTTAATCTCTTTGATAAGTACTTCTAATCGTTTTAATTGATCATCTCGTTCTTGTAATACTCCCAAATCAACATTTTCTACAGGCAAAACGGCTTGTTGTTGATATTGTTGCTCTGAGGATACAAAATTATCTCCAAATGGGGAATCATTCATTGGCTGCTGGAAGAAAATTAGAAGCGCTTATGCTGAAATGGATAAAGAGTCCAATATTTTTGACTTACTTGGCGAACTGATGCTGCCTTGGCACGATCTAAACTTTCTTTCTCTTTTTTAACGCCCAAACTGAATAAATGACAAATCAAAGTAAAAATAAAAGCGAATAAATTTTTGCGTTACCGCTGTGCTTGTTGAAATCGATTTAATGCATGAAGATATTGTTTGGGTAAACTATCTGTTAATAATGCTTTTCGCTTCTAAAAAGACAATGTGGTTCGGTGACTCTATAGTAAATAAGGCATTTTATTAATTTTCTATACTTGTTCTGCTTCGGATGATACAGGTGTATTTTTCAGTTGTTGAAGTGCATCATGTGTACTTTGAGTTAATAATTTTGTATCATTTTGTAATCTATGACTGATAAAAACAAGCATTAAATTCATAAACTTTATTACAGATTTACTAGTATTAATACGCAACTTACTAACGGTCCCTTAAGGGGTCAGAATCTTCTGGTGTTCCAAGTTTTTTGACAAGATTTTCAATATCCGTTACTAAAAACCACATAACATAACAGTTACATTGGCATGGTACGTTAGTCTACATACCATTATGGTCTAACCGCTGTAAATTTGTTGTTATTGCGTTGTGTAAACGTTGAAAATCACTTGCAGTTGACACTATAAACACATACAATTCCACCGCTTTAGCGTTTGATGTCTTTATTCAGATTCTGTTACATACTTTTAGATGACCAAGTATCAATAAAATCGTCAATCTAAAATAGTATATAAATCAAGTGAATTGTCAAATATCTCCATTAATTATCGAAAATAATTAAGCATCCCGTTCAAAAATAAAAAAAAACAAACGACTAATTATATTATATTATCAATCTGCATACATATTAATACATGACACACAACACAAAAAGAATGTTTGTTATACGGGTTAATTTAGCAAATCAAAAACACAATAGTTTTTCACATTCAACTAGAACCGCAAAAATCAACATAGAACTTCAAACGCATAATCACGAGTAGAGATAAACTATTGAAAATTTAAAGTCTAATTTAATTATCGAAAACAAAAGCGCAATTTTTGCAAATTATCGTACAAATAGAAAAAATTACGAAGTAAAAGCTCATCTCATATCAGCTAGTGCATCGCTTGTATGCAACCGCCTTTTAGAAAAGCATTTTAGTTCATAAATTTACAGCCAAGAAAAGGAGACAAGATTATAGTGTAAATTGATTGATTGAAGATTGACACATTAGCGATGACTTACTAGAAGAAAATTCGTAAAATTTTAACGTAAAACTATGTTATATTTATATATTGTCTATCTGTAGAGCAAACGGTGAATGAGGAGTTGGCAGGGACTTCCCCATGGATTGCACATGTTGGAGACTCTCCAGGGATTTTGAGGATGACTCACCGGGGAGTCAGGCATTTTTTGGGGACTCCTGCTACTCTTTTTACCTGAAAAACTGGGAAATACTGGATGTCGCTAAAATGGCTGAAAAATAGGAGAAAATGATCTTTTACAACGACACTTTTTCGTTCCGATTTCATCTAATAAATCATTATTTCTCATTAAAAAAAAAAAGAACATCATATTGTAGAAAATTTCTTGCTAAATTTTTCCGTATCCTTGTTTTGTTGAATAAGTGATTTTTAGCGAGGTTTTGCGCAAAAAATCGATTTTTTGAAGGTGTAATTACAAAATCTGAAGCTTTTCTTGTTAGAGTTACTACACCAAATATCAAAAATGAATCTTAAAAATAAATATATAATCTTGTAGAGAATTAAATTCTCTATCGTTTGAGACTATAAAGGAAATTTTTGAAGTGAGAGAAAAATGCATCAACATTTAGTGCAATTTATTATGGGTGCAATTTATTTATGCAATTTATTTATATCACCCGTTACAATTGTAAGTGGAATAAAGGATCAACAAATGAAACAAACTTATATCAACAAGTTAAATAAATTTCAGTTGCTCGCAATTTTCGAGGCTCCTCGAGTATTATTCGTTTTATCACTGAGTCTGAGAAGTCATCACTACAGCTATCGGCGTTTTTCTAATTCGAAGATATTCCGCTACTGTTTAAAACCATGTCAGATATTTTAAGTTAAAAAGTAAAGTAGTTACTATTTTCATTATTAAATACGTTAAGAAATGCAACAATTGAGGCTTAAATGCTTCCAATCGTTTGTTATAAAAGCATGTAAAATGAAAAACAAATGAAATATCCAAAAGAAGTAAATGTATAAATAACGAGGCAAACTAATAGAGGCTGAAATCATATCCAAAAGAAATTCTCTACCTGCACTAGGTCCTCATCTGAATCAGACATGTTCCTAAAATGTAAGTGAATTTAAAATGTTTTTGTGGGAAAATCAGTAACTAGAAGTCAAATGTTGATATTCAAACCAGAGATGGGTGACAAACTTCTGACTAGACTCGGATTCAGACATTTAAAAAGCTATTTTCAGTATCCTTTTATGTCGTTTAATGCCATGGTTGAATTTCTTTTGTTTTATCAACTGAGTACTAGAACAGGAAGAAAATAGAGCAATGTACATGAAGTGCCAGCCGCCACTGGAACTGGAACACGCTGAAAAATCAAGCAACGATAGAGTTTTGTAGGTAAGTTGGAAAATTAAAGATTCCAGCTTCGAAAACCGTAAATGAAGTTAAGAAATAATAGCGGACTCAGAGCGGATTCGGAAATGAGCGGAGTCACCCATCTCTAATTCAAACAACTTGTTATTTTCAACGAAAATCAAAGCTCAGATTCTTGCACACCATGTATTAAAATATGACTGACCGAAAACTTATAGATTATTATAAAATTCAATTTTGTTCCATTCTGATAAACAATTTAATGTATACGTACAAAAGAAGAACATCAGAAATCATTATCTATAATTCAAGGTATAGGTATTTAGAAAATCAGTGGATTATTTTGAGAATTAAAATATCCAGCGAAATGCTCTTGCTTATGTACCCATCGTATTAAACTATCGCTCGTAAGAGGATAGAAGCAATTTTCGAGGATCTAACATAAGACGCATGAATCATCTAGAATAAATAAACTCACTTAGTATGCTAAAAATGAAATTTGAATTTGAGCCTTCTATTAAGATACCGTCTGTTCAATGTTCTGTAACATAAAAAAGCGCTTATGATTATGTATCTACGACGCCCACACACTTTTCATCGTTAAAAGTCGAATGATAGCATGAATCATTAGCTGCAGTGCAGAAATCGCTATATGAGTCATAAAATTGATCCATCAATAATATTCTCTAAACTCTAATTTTAATAAACATTTAGACTTTAGTATGCTACTCTACTTTTCAATTTTGATGAATTGTTTAGCAAAACAGAGTGTCTGCAAGCGCGTCCAAGCGAACTTTTGTTGTCTATCATTTAGCGACAATTTTTGTTCACTTTTCGATTCACAGATAATAATGCATTATAGTATTGCACCAATCATACGTCACTTTTCTTTCTATTTGAATAAATGAATTGCGTTCATTCCGTGTAAAGTTTTTACTCATTACATTGAACTACTCACTCATACAGTTGCTTGCATGAGAAAGTCAAATCAAATGGATCAAGCACGCTTGATTACTTGGTTACAATTCCACCAGCTTCTTTGACCGTTCTTCACAAAGCTTGACTTGAATTCAACTGAAACTTTGCGCAAAAATTGAATTCTTTTCTTTTCTTCCTTACTTCGCTCGCTGACATATATTGTTGGATAATTATGTCTTTTTGTTTCACAATCAATCTAAAAAGAGAAAAAGACAAAAGAAAATAGTTGCCGTTTGAATTGTATTTGTGCTAGCTTTGTCATACACTTTTATCTATTTTCAGATAAATCTTTCTTCATAATGGATACGTCTGATCTAAACTTACCATCTTATAAATATCAATTAGAACAAGTAGGCTCTCTGCTTCTCTTACGTTTATTTTTCAAGAATTTCAAGAAGAATATTTTCTTACTTATAATAAAAAAAGTTGGAATCCGTGCGTGAAGCTCTGCACCGACCTTACGACTCAATTAGTTGCTTCTCTGACAGGCATATAAAGGCGGAGATTTTACATTTATTTGGAAATAAACACTAGTTTGCATGAACAATATTAACCTGTCCTCGAAAAATGAACACTTTCTCACTTATGTTGTTTTATTTCTTTAGGTCGAATTAGCGTTGAAAGCACAGCCGGATGATTCAGAATTACTTCGATTGAAACAAGATCTCGAGGTAATAATCAAAATGCATATTCTGGAAAAGAATGTTCTGCTTAGAGGAACACATGCAGGTAGCCCAATTTCTCTACAGTAGTTTGAAAAAATGTTGATATTGTTGTCTATATAATTGTACACTTCAGTGACAGCACCATTATACCACACTCGTTTAACATGAAAAAGACGTGGTTGTTTATGTTGGCATAGACAATTAAACGGTAATCTAATCTATGTCGGTATCGACACTTTCTCGAATAGAATAATCAGAGAAAAGAATTCTATATGAAAACGAAATTGAGTGATATGAATTAATTTTTGTCTGTTCTCGTTTTTTTTTAAATAGGAAGTTATTAATTTAACGGCAGAACTTTTGGGTTGCGACCCGTCATTAAATTTAGAAGACTCGTCGAATATTGATGCATATTCAACATCAGCAGCATCATTATTACAACAACCATCAACAACTAATTCATTAACTTCATCAGCTAGATTACCGATTAAATGGAAGACGGGAGATCGTTGTTTGGCTGCATGGAATGAAGATGGAAAGTATGTGAAGTTTTTAATGTACTATTAAAAAGTGTGATTTACTCACAGAGTCTTGTGTATTTGTTTAGATATTATGAGTGTACAATTGATGATGTGTTGGATGATGGAACATGCACAATTGTTTACGATGGATTTGGCACAGCTGAAGTGACTGTCGTAAGTTTAATCTTTGTCCCTTTTCTATTATTCTAAATAATAGAAAATGCTGTATTTATTTACGTAGGTATCAAAATTAAAACCGTTTGATCGTACACGTACGACAATGAGTGGCCCAAAATCATCTGCTCATATATTAAAAACGAAACGAGAACTTGAAACAAGATTACGCGAATTAAAACGTAAAAAACAACAGAAAAAACTTCAAAAGTTCAAAGAATTAGAAGAAGAGCGAGAAAAAGATAAAAAGCGTTGGGTTGATTTCAATCATAAGGTACATAAGCGAAAAATTCAGTTTTTTTAAAATTTTTCTACCAGAAAAATTCTATTGATGAATAAAACATCCGAATTTGTAAACGTAAGACATAAATTGTTTGTCTATTATTTTCTTTCTTTTCATATTTAGTTAACTGGAAGGACGTGGAAAGGTGTTGTATCGAAATCAATGGTTAAAAAGAGCGAACCAGCCAAAGTAAATGTCAGTGGTGTGACCGGTAGTTTTATGACAAAGTATAAACAACCAGACACATCAACAAATAGCAAAGGAACAAAGACTACAAGATCGAATTAACATAAATCATAAAAACTGTGACGTGTTTGTCATAAAAAACCTCGTTTCTGTTCTTTTAATGCATATTAAATGTTTGTTTATCTCTGTTTTTTCTTCTCTGTACAAAAAGGAAAACATTTTTTATATACATCATGTCTCGGATTTTGTGTTTTGAAACTTTTTTTCTTTAATAAGAGCTATCAAAAAGTCGAATGAGTATATTTGGATACTTTTCCCTTTATAGATTTATGTATGAGCATCAGGCCAATCTTCAACATTTATCTAAAAAGTGTTGTTTCCTCTGGAAAACAAGCATCGTGGAGTTCAGTTAAGAGCCTGAAAGATCGTTTCCTAAGTTCTGGATTTTTCTCTAAAACTATTAAAAAAGTCGAAAACGAATCATCCAGTATATATTATTGTACATGTTTATAATATCCGTTCAACTCTGTTAATTTGAATAGTTAATTATCTCAATGAAATTGTAGTTCGAAGTTGTGAAAGTATATCTTCAATGGTTCTTTTATTTGTATTATCCATTACAATGTTACCACAGAATTATGTAATGTAACAAATCTATCGTTTTAGATTATGTTTCTCTGTGTTTCGTAAAAAAGCGAAGGGTGCCAAGTCACTCCTTGTTTATGTTGTATTCATTTTTATTGTATTGACCTACATAAGAACAAAAAAATGCATGGTGCAGCTAGTCGTTTATTATTCCATCATTCAACATCTAAGTTAAATATTCAACAAATATTAACGCGCTATTTATCTTCAACACACTCGTTGAAATTATGTAAAATATGCAGCTCGTCAAATCTCAAGTAATCTAACAGACTACACTTTCACTTTAATTTGATTTTAACTAATGTATTTCTATTTCACAGTCCATCACCATTTCTAGTCAATCGCTCTCATCAACAGCAACGTGCTCTGTCAACGCAAACAACAAAATGTTTACAACAATATCGTTTATCTCCTGCTCAACAACAAATCAGATTTGCATCATCTGGTTAGTGTCTGAACGAGCTTTTTCTTTGAAAAACAAAGTGCTGTTATCTAACTTTTGCTGTATTTTAGGTAGTTTACCAACTCATACAAAATTAACACTTCCAGCTTTATCGCCCACAATGGAAACAGGAACAATAAGATCTTGGTCAAAACAAGAAGGCGACAAAATCGTAGAAGGTGAACATACGAACAAACTTTTTAGATCCCTTTAGGAAAATATTATTTTATTTTTAGGCGATCTGATAGGTGAAATAGAAACCGATAAAACAACTCTTGGATTTGAAGTTGGAGAGGAAGGTTATCTTGCTAAAATACTACTGCCTGCTGGAAGTAAGGATGTCCCGGTTGGAACAGTAAGTGTCCTGTTGACACACATCATTTGTGTACTCTCTTTTGTTTCATATGCATAGGTTTGTGCAATTGTAGTGGAAAAACAAGAAGATGTAGCGGCATTTAAAGATTACAAAGATGACGGAGGAAAAACAGCAACATCGTCCACTAGTGAAGATAGTAGCAAAAAAAAAGAAGCAAAAGCTCCAGAGAAAAAGAAGGAGACGCCAAAGAAAGAAGATCAGAAAGAGCAAGAAAAATCACCATCAGACAAGAAAGCAGCTAAATCAGGAGAAACTGAGACAAAACAACAGCAAACGAAAAAAGATGATAAAGATCATGTATTCATATCACCATTCGCAAAAAAATTAGCAAATGAAAAAGGAATTGATATTCAAGTAAGAAAATTTGAATACTAAGTAAAAAGTCAAATATCCACGATTCTGAACATTCACTTTTTTTGAAGTGATAGACACATTTTTTCAAGTGTTTTTTTTGTAGTCGATTCAAGGTAGCGGACCGAATGGCCGAATTGTTGCAGAAGATGTTGAAAAATTTATCAAAGAAGGCGGTACCAAACAACAACAAGCTAAACCAGCAACAACAGCCAAAGGTCAACAATCAGCAGCAAAAGAAAAGAAAGATAAAACGGCGGCGACTGCTGGTGGCTACGATGAGACTGCAATTTCTGAGATACGAGCTGTAAGTTGCTCTTCTGTATCCACCATATCACTAACATTATTTCGTTCCAGGCAACAGCAAAACGTGTGACACAATCGAAAACAACCATACCGCATTATTATTTAACAATTGAAATCGAAATGGATCAAATAATTAAGTAAATCATACGACACTATCTCTGCTCTGTACGGATTTCTAACTGTTTATTGTGTATAGATTGCGTCAAACATTGAACGATATGTTACAATCAAAAGACAAAAAAGCTAAAGGAATAACAATTAATGATTTTATCATAAAAGCAGCTGCATTAGCCTGCAAAAAAGTACCAGAAACAAATAGTGTATGGATGGACAAAACGATTAGACAGTAAGTATAGATTCTTTTTTTGATTTTAATTTTAGTATGATTACTCTTCTTTTTTTGTAGATACGAAACAGTTGATATCAATGTGGCTATAGCGACAGATGCTGGATTAATGACCCCGATTATTTATAATGCTGATCAAAAAGTATGATGTCAATTCTTATTCTATGCGAAATACAAGATTTATATATTGTAGGGTTTGTCTCAAATAAGCAGTGACATAGCACAACTAAGCGAAAAAGCGAGTAGTGGCAAATTATCTGCAGATGAGTTGGAAGTAAGTATATCGTATACAGTGGCGAATTAAGATGGTACGAGCCCGCATCCATCTCAAAAAAAGAAAATCTTCATTTTTTACCATGACGTTGCTTGATTTCAAAAAAAGTTTTCCGAATCCATCACTTATCGAACTATATAAATAAAAAGTGTAAAATGGTTCATTTATTTATTGTAGAGTGGTACATTCACTATAGCAAATCTTGGAATGTATGGCATAAACAATTTTAGTGCTGTTATTTATCCACAACAAGTATGAAATGATAGCGCATTGGTATCAGTAACAATGACTTTCTCTTTATTTTTAGTCATGTATTCTGGCAATCGGTGGCGCTGAAACAAGGCTTGTACCAGATCAAAAGAACGAAAAAGGGTAATTACTAATTCTCAGTAACAGTTACCTTTTTTTTCTAAAAGTTCTTCTAAATAACAATTGTTTTTTTTCTTCAGATATCGTTCATCAACCGTAGTAAACATAACATTATCTTGCGATCATCGAGTCGTTGATGGTGCAGTGGGAGCTCACTGGTTACAAGAATTTAAATCATTCTTAGAAAATCCGGGCTCCATGATACTTTAGCATTATGATTGATGTTGTTTTATTTTTTAAATCGTAACTCACATAAGATTAGATATATAACCCCTATTTATTTTTCAGTATTTTTAAGAACCATACCAAAATTAGTGTGTAGGAATTTTTTTATTTGATATATGTTTATTTTTTCGTGGCATGTTCGTGTTCTGTCTAAACATGTTTCTAACTGCTTATTTTTACTTTTACACTATTAGGTATGAATCGTAAAAAGAGAAAATAAAATGATGAAAAATGATTTATAGTAAATGCATTTGACTTCTCTTCTTTTTTTTGTTTATTTTTAACTGCAAAAAAAATGACGATGTAAATTTACTGACCTTATCTATTATTCCCACTAAAAACTCATGTAATGATGGCGTTTTTTTTATTCTTTCAGACTGAAATATTTTTTCTTTTGCGTTTTTATTCTACAAAACTTTTATTTATTTGAAATTTTTCAAACAATGGCTTTGAAAACGTTGACATCCCGTGGTCTTTATTCTAAATTACGTCCATTATTAGCCGATGCTCTTACAGATTATCGTGCATTATGCAAAGTACAAACAGCAGATTATCACGAAAAGGTATTTTGTTCGATATGAAATTTTATTTTTTTATGTGAACAATTGTATTATTAAGGTTATTGAACATTATGAAAATCCTCGTAATGTTGGATCTTTTGATAAAACAGAAGATAATGTTGGAACAGGACTCGTGGGTGCACCGGCATGTGGAGATGTTATGAAATTACAAGTAATTTGGTTTAATATAGATAGCTAATTGTAGAAAAATTGATTGTTAGTTTAGATCAAAGTTGATGAAAATGGGAAAATAGTTGATGCTAAATTCAAAACATTCGGTTGTGGATCAGCAATTGCATCAAGTTCGTTAGCTACGGAATGGATCAAAGGGAAATCGGTAAGAATTTCAATATTAATTTTTTTGTATCGTGATTCGAACGGGCTTTATCTCTAGGTGAATGAAGCAAATACTATTAAAAATTCAGACATAGCCAAAGAATTATGTTTACCACCAGTTAAATTACATTGTTCAAGTATGTAAAAATAATACGATTGTGTTCATTGCATACTCGATATAAGTCTATTTCGAGAACCGAATGTAATTTTTATTTCATTCTTCTAGTGTTAGCTGAGGACGCAATTAAGGCAGCAATAAGCGATTATCAAACCAAGCGTCAGCAAAAAAAGTCATCGTGAAAAATTATAAGAACAGCATTATAACATCAAATTTTTCTCAAGAGAAATTATGAAGAAAAGAATATTAAACTAGATGTATTCGAGTCTACTGTATACGAATATATTCTTAGAAAAGTTTTTTAGATTAGTTTTTCATCAAAAAAGTGAATATAGCTGATGAGTCTTTTTAGTTAAAAGTTTATAAGCTCTGTTCAACAGACGAAGTTCATTGTAGTTATTGAAGTTTTATTGAGACTCCGACAGAACAATGCAACTTCTAGTTTGTATACGTGGTTCATAACTAGCAGACTGATAATGAATGCATCAGCTATATTCAGTTTTTCATACCCTTTCCACTGATGGCCTTGAAAATCAGTTAGACTCATCTAAGGAAAGAGCAATCTTATACATTTTAACAAGGAAAAAAGTGTCATGTTATGTAGAACATTTTTTCCTCAAAAAAGTTTAGACTAAAATACTTTTCTAAGGACATATTCGTATACAGTAGATTCGAATGCATCTAGTTCAATATTCTTTTCTTCATAATTTTTTTTTGAGAAAAATTTGATGCCATAGTGCGCATAATCGAGCTGTTTTTTGTATAGTTTTTTACAATACAGTGTGTCGTTATATTTTTGCCTATATATTGTTTGTCTTTTTTTATTACGTGATTATCTTTTTAACTGTAAACTTTTGTCCTCATTTGAGTTTGTGCTAGTGTCGAATGATATGTATATGTATTCATACTGAATAAAATATATTTTTTAATGGTATAATGAGATAAAAGGAATATAAAAATATTATATATGAATACTAACAGATAATAACTGATATATTCAATACGTCTCCCCATCATTCTAAACAATTTTAGATAGAATATGCGTTTACTCGAAAAACAACTTCGTGAAGAAGTATTAAATCGTTGTCTTGAATTTTTGGATGTAACAATTAATTTTATACTTTATTCTGAATATATTTATCCCAGTGAACTTTTTGAACGTCGTCAAAAATATGGTTTAATTTTATATGAATGCGTAGATGAAGATGTTCAACAATATATCTCTCTCTGTGTTGAATCAGCTAAAACATTTCTTCAATATCAACTATTAGATATGATATCTGTAGCCATTATTCGTACAAATGATGATGAAAATACAGAATTTATATTACGTCGCTATTTAATCGAATTGCATCCTCTAATTGATCCTTGTCTTCGTAGTATTCACACAAATATTGATTCTATTGTTAAAGAATTAGATACTTCATTTCGTTCATGTTTAATTGAAATAATGAAACAGAAACCGATTCACTCGCAATTATTAGAACAAATTACATGGAAATTTCAAATGCGTAGTTGTTCTCAATCAAAAAATGCATCATTAACGTCTACATCTGCATCATTTGAACACATATTAAATAATGAACATTTATTTCGTGAATTTTTACTATTAAATGTTAATAATCAATTAGAAACAAATTCAGAATTATGTAAAATAACACCGGTAAAGTCCATACGAACGCAGCGATTGACTGTACAATTAATGTGCGAAAATAATCTACATCAACAAAATAAATTCAAAGAATATTTACAATCAATTGCAGAAAACGAAGGAAATGAAACAATACAACGAAAAATTAGACTCAGTAGTAGAACTAGTTCAATTTCTCAAAAATCAATAACTGGAACTAATCTAGGACAAAAAACACAAAATCAGGTAACTTCAGTATAACTTAACTCTTTGGAAAATGTGATATTATGCTTTGAGTTATACCTCTTTTCTTGAATATACCCGTTCTGTTCAACCACATTGCGGTTTTTAGCTATTCTTAACCAATTTAGCTAAACGTGTCATATTGTCGTATTTCTTTTAGAATGTATCGATTGATCAAAACACAACAACTACCGCAACGTTAGCACCAATTTTTGAAGAAGAAAATTCGTCAAGTATGGCACCATCTAATTCAAAAATACAAATTTCCACGTCTCCTGACGTAATAGAATCGTCGATAAAAATTCGAAGTGATGATAATATACATCCAAGTCCATTCGTATATCAAAGAAAATCGAACACTTTTTTTCCTTCTCTCTCTACACATATAACATCTCAAAATGCACAGCAAGCACAGATTACAAGTGAAAAACCGTTAAAAGATCAGAGGGATGATTCAGATCTTGATGTCGTGAGTGCTTCATCGGATGATGAAACAACGATCTATGACTTTAATGGCGGACAGCCATTGACTACCATAAATAAAGATGACGGACAAGCACAAGAAGAAGAAGAGTTAGACATAATTCTGTCTAGTCCAGATGTTATACCATCTAGTTTACAATCAAATATTGAATTAGAATTGATAGATGACAAAGATGCATTTCAGTCATCATCTTCAGAAGATGGAACTGATAATGATGATCGAGATGTGATACTACTGGATGATGACGATTGAAATTGTATTATTTTCATATTTTCTAATTTTTTTAAGTAGAAATAATAATCTAAATTAAATATCATCTTTGATGAATAATTATTTGATGACGGCAATGTGATGACGCAAATCTGTAGGGCAAAACGAATAGTAATTGTTGTTTATGCATCATGATACCTTTACAACATCGGATGTTGTGCTTAATGAGAGAATACATTTGAGTGACATCCCTGGAACAGAGACGAGACTTAGCCTATCTTGTAGAGAAGTTACGCTGATCATGAATATGTATGTCTTACCTGCCCGTGTTGTGGTCTCAATGCGCGAGAGAACATGATATATACAGCTGGAAAAAACTAGTTGCACACAGTTTTTTCAAGATATTTTCCTTATGAAGGTATACTTTTAGAAAAATAATCCCATATTCTGATAGCACTTGAAATTCTCTATTAGTCTCTGCTTTTACAGCCTGGATTCGAAATTATTTACTATCAAAAGTTTTGAATATTGTTAATGTCCCCCATATTCCCAGAAATTGTAACGGGAAGGGCCTCTCAGTATTTTCTATTTTTCTCGTGTTTCTTTAGGACCAAAAGCTTAACGTTTTCTTAAAAAGATGCGCCGCGAAATACTCTACAAAACCAAAGCTAAACTTTAATTTCAGAACTTCAATCAAGAAAACTACGCAGACTATGCAAAGGACGAAAAAAATGAAAACTTTGAAAATCTGGTATTTTTTTCCACTTAAACCTTTTTCTTCTGCTATTATTTCCGTAAAAAAGGGTTGCAAAAGTGAAAACTGAGTTCTTTTTGTATTTTTGAATGTGCTCTTTCTCATGGTCTGTAAAAAAGAAGAGTTAGTTGAAGAAGCATGGAATGCAATTCATGGAAATGTCATACGTGGGTACATTAACAATATTCGAAATATTTGTCGGCAAATAATTGCAAGTCAAGGCCGACAAAGTACAGGATGATAGAGAATTTGAAGCGCTATCAGAATATATAATTACTTTTGTAAAAAGTTATTTCTGTATTCATAATAAATTTGAAAAAACCACTGAAAAAGGAATAAAAAATGCAGTTTGTGCGAATCTAACGATGATGGTGCCTTCATTGTACTCGAAATATTTTTCAGCAAATAAGTGCAAGGCAAGCCATTTATATACAGGGTGATAGAGAATTTCAAGCGCTATCAGAATATGGGATTATTTTGCTAAAAGTATATCTTCATAAGGAAAATATATTGAAAAAACTGTGTCCAACTTTTTTTCCACTTTATTTTGCCTACCTTATCCTATTCGTTGATGAGAATCGTGTTTCGTTGATCAATAGGTTGGATGACGATCGTCGTGTATGTTATGTATACTCTAGCTGATTTTTGAAATTTTTATTTACAAAAAACAGAGGAGAGAAGACTAGTAGTAAAAAGCTAAAGCGCTTTCGAATTTCTTCGTCAGTAGCAAATAAGTAAAACATACACAAAAAACAGTATTATATATAGGACCATTACATATTGGAAAAATTAAACTAAAAAGCTATTTTTATACACCGTTGGATAGGGCTTGCAAAGCGCTATCGAACCGTATAACTATCGCGTATTCCTATAGGATTTGAAACGAGCTGCTTTACTAACGACATAAAACTCATGCTCACGCTCGTTAGTAAAGCAGCTCGTTTCAAATCCTATAGGAATACG